TGAGAGCAAGACCGGCACGCTGCTCTGGACGTCTCCATACACGTCTTCGATGATTGTCACGACAAAGTTGGAAGCGGGATTCGTCACTAAAGACGTTTCCACTCAGCATCATTCCAACCTGATCCATCATTCCAACGGACCACCAGTGGTCCATGGACCACCGGTTGGCGACCGCTGACCTATAGAATGTCAAAACTACATATTAGAAATAAATCAAGTTCTGTTTAGTTTTGAAACAGAATTTTAATTCCAGCATTTTAAATGTTAATTTACTTGTTTTCTCTCATAGCAAAATCTTCGATTTATGTTCTAGATCAGTGGTCGCCAACCGGTGGTTCGTGAAAACTTTTTGATGGTCCGCAGAAAAATTGGGACATTATATATATTTTTATGAAGATTCAGTTTAAAAAATGACAAGTAACAAAACATATTATATGGAATATGGTTTATCCTTTCTTTTTTTAAATTTTAGCTACTACTTTAGCGAAATTCCTTCTGAATTCAGCGACTTGTTAGCTACTTTTGCAGGTATATCTAGCGACATTTGAAAGTGAGAGTTGGAATTCATGGGATGCTGCTTTATGTTATCAATAATAACGCGAACTGGGATTCTCTTTCCTTTTAAATTACAAACGTATGCTATTGTGGTCGTTAATAACACAGTTTTTCCTCTGTGTCAATAGGCAACTTGATGGATTTTTATGAGAACCATCTGCATTCTTGTTTATAATTGCCTCACTGGAAGTTTCTGTTTTTATTTTGTCTAACTGTTGATCGATGGCGCCATTGCTGAGTAAGAGACAATTATTATGTTTACAATAATTAAAAATTGGCGGCACAACAGTGTCAGTTTATTGATATTGCTTTGCGTTTGCCGGTTTGTTCTTGCTTTTCGTGAAGTTCCTTTTCTATGGAAATGTGAAGCTTTCTATACAAAAAGGTAAGATTTTTGTACTTTTCATGTAACTTTTCAATGTGAATAAAATATGTGTAGTTTGCTGATTATTACTGCATAAATGTATTTACCTTTTTTTAAATTCATATTAGTGGTCCGGCAAATATGAAATTATATATGTAGTGGTCCGTGAAGTTCTAAGGGTTGACGACCGCTGTTCTAGATATTTCTTTCATTAGTATAGTTCCAATTCAGTAAAGCAGAAGGTATTTAGTTTCAGATATTAGGTGACTTTTTAATCGATTTTATTTAGAAAAGTTCCTTTCAGCAAGCAACATTTAGCAGCAACTGTGAGAAAAATTCGCAGTAGTAAAAAATTATTTGGAATTGCATTCTGGAGACAAAGGGTATTTTAGAGTAAACTTTCAAAGCAAACATTTTAGGATAAACGTTCGAAGCAAACATCTTTTCAAGTCAGTGTTTCGTCTTTCAAACCAGTGACAGAAATAAAACTCGGAACTTATTCTCTCTTAATAAAGAATTTTCCCTTATTTTATTATGTCTTTGTAACAATAATTTAATTTATATAAGTATTTTGCTTTCATAATTTAAGGGCATAGCAAGAAAATGAAATTGTTGATATGTCAACGTGATTTCTTTGAATACTCTTTCCAGGTTATAATACTTCAATACTACTTCAGTTTCGAATGACAGTTCAGCATCTTGGGATTCTTCATCTGTGCAATGATCGAATGTATAAAATGGCTTAACATAACAATCTTAACATTGGTTAATATAGCATGGTTAAACGAGTCATTCCTATAATATAACATGGCTAAACGAATGTTTTGTCTAGGTTATAAAACTTCAATACTACTTCAGTTTGGAATGACAGTTCAGCTTCTCGGGATTCAGCATCTCTTCAATACTACTTCAGTTTCAACTTCAATACAACTTCAGCTTCGAATGATAGTTGAGCGTCGCTGCAATGATCAAATGTATTAAATGGCTAAACATTGGTTAATAATACAACATGGCTATAAGAGTCATTGGTTAATATAACATGGCTAAACTCAGTTTCATGAATTATCTCTTCAATACTACTTCAGTTTCAACTTCAATACTACTTTAGTTTCGAATGACAGTTCAGCATTTCGGAATTTAGCATCTCTGCAATGATCGAATGTATAAAATGGCTTAACATTGGTTAATATAACATGGCTAAACGAATGTTCTGTATAGGTTATAAAACTTCAATACTACTTCACTTTCGAATGACAGTTCAGTATCTCGGGTTTCGTCATCTTTTCAATGCTACATCAGTTTCAACTTCAATACTACTTCAGCTTCGAATGACAGTTGAGAATCTCTGCAATAATCGAATGTATCAAATGGTTAAACATTGGTTAATATAACATGGCTAAAATAGTCATTGGTTAATATAACATGGCTAAAAGAGTCAGTGTTTAATATAACATGGCTAAAAGAGTCATTGTTTAATATAACATGGCTAAACTCAGTTTCATCAATCATCTCTTCAATACTACTTCAGTTTCAACTTCAATACTACTTCAATTTCGAATGACAGTTCAGCATTTCGGGATTCAGCATCTCCGCAATGATCGAATGTATAAAATGGCTTAACACTGGTTAATATAACATCACTATAATATAACATGGCTAAACGAATGCTATGTCTAGGTTATAAAACTTTAATACTAGTTCAGCATCTCAGGATTTTTCCTTTCGCCAACGATCGAGTGTATAAAATGGCTTAACATTCTTTAATATAAACATGGCTAAACGTTGGTTACGAGTATATAAGATGGTTCGACCTAAGCACTGGAGTCTGATCTAAGGGTTGGTTGGTTTAGTTTGGTTTACGTAATTACAGCAAAGCCTCAAGGGCTATCTGCCTAAGGGTAGGGATGCCTTCGTAGAGGACTTTCTAAGGAGAACTGGTTCGTATAAAAGTTACACATGGGAAAAAACACGTAAACGTTCATCCAGCCAATCCTTTAACGGGGTTCGAACTTCAGACTGAACCAACACTGTTCAGAGACTTCACCGCTGGCCACTGATGGACCTTTGAGCTGAGGTCAAATTTCAATGAACAGGCTGGCTGTATGAGTTTTTCGGGCAACTTATAAGTTTTCTGAAGTAACACAGGGTATGTAAAGTGTATTATCCCTCCCAAAATTATTTCTGTTATTGTATCACCAAAAATAAAATTTAAAAAAAAAAAAAAAAAAAAAAAAAAAAAAAAAAAAAAAAAAAAAAAAAAAAAAAAAAAAAAAAAACGCTCTTTTCGACGCTCTCTAGTTACTCTCCTAGTACTGATATGCAATTGAAAGGAAGGTTTGCAGAGGAGACACATGCCAATTTTTAAATTTAAATTTTAGGAAAATACAAATTTAAGCAGATAAAAGTGCTCACTAAACTGTAGCTGAATTTCATCTAAACTTCAGTTAAACTGGTTTTAGTAAGCATCAGATAATTAAAGAACATTTCATATTTAACCTTAGTTAATATTTTAATGATGAGTGAAATCTGCTTCTCCAGAATATAAGAAAAATTTCCAAACGAGATGTTGCAGAAAACTTAGAACGTTTCTGCATCTGGGCTCTAATTTGGGAATATCAGACTGCTGAACTAATGTGCCTGTGCGGTTATCAGAAAAGCACAAGGGAGAAATAGCTCAGTTTCTTACACTTCCCTCACCATCCCCAAGTGCCGAGAAAGAAGCTATCAAAAGATTAATAAATAAATCAAATAGCTTAGGGAAACTGATTATTCCTTTCCCAAACTTGGGTTTAAAGTATCCAAATTATTTTATTGATGGGCCTAATATTTCAGTTTTTAACGGCATTTGCTATGAGACTGTTTTCTAAATGTTACATTCCCATACATTTCTGTTTCATTATGATAAGAGAAATTTTTCTTTTCTTCCCATAAAAACTTGAATACCTTTTCAGTAAATAATTTTCAAATCCATTGAATCAATTCCATTATTATAAATATAAATTTTATTTAAATTTGTACCGTTAGGGAATTTGCATGATTTGCCTGTTATTAAAGTATTATTTAAATGTTATTAAAGGTAAAGCTATCATTATTTATTGCCCACCAGCGGCAGAGAGGCAAAATCGCTGAACACTGTAGTACCGACCTGGGATTGAATCCAGGCATACGGGTTGGCTGCATGGGCGTTTTCGTGTTTTTGCTCATGTGTAACATGCATGCGAGCAAGTTTCCTTTAGTACGTTCTCCATAAAGGCATCCCTCTCTTTAGGCAGATATCCAGTGTGTGCTTTACCGTAATAAACTAAACCAAACCACACCAACCAATCATTATTTATCTAGAAACCAAGGTCAGAAGATTCAGCATTAAGTCACCATGTTTTTAAACTGTTTTGTTAGCGATAAATTATATTTTCAGTTGAATAATGATTACCCATTTAAATTTTACGACATTGTTGGCAGATAATATTATTATAATATTTGATTCAAATGTTAAAAATTATACTGATTAGAAAGGAAACCCGTAACTCTATTTTCCAGTTATCTCCATTTTCAGTTACTATAAATCATTTTCAGTTCATTTCCAGTTACTATATTTATATTCAGTTACTATGCATCGCTACAAATTTATTTAATTTTTAATTAAATTTTAATATTCTATAGAGATTTTTGGCTAGGCTTAGAGATAATAGAATGCTCCAATTGAATACAAATGCTGATAGTCATATAACAAGCGATACAGCAACTCAGCTGCTGGTAAGTAAGTAAGTAAGTTACTATAAATGCTATACTCAGATTATATCCTACCACAGAAATAGTTTAAGAGGAAAACCACAGAAGGAGATGTTTGAATTGAAGTTTAAAATATTGCTCAAGATTACGAGTATTTCGGATGTTTTAGATAAGCAGTACTTGAATGTAAAACTAGTAGAACTGTATCTAGAAATTTTCCATTATTTCATTCATGTTGTAGTACGTCATTCTAATTTAGGCATTGCCAAATCTTTCACCAAACCGGAACGAAAGAGGCAACAAGAAGGTAAGTGAAAGTATCTTCTATCAGCAGAGCACGAGATTGATCGCAGCATTATTTTTGAGACAGTATTCCGGAGAACTTGTCAAACTACTTACCCGCGAACTCACTTGCTTCCGAAACACTCATGGAATACCATCGGAAATTTATCCTTTCAGCTCTGCTGCTGTATTTACATTTTGTTGGAACATTTTCAATATCGACTTTTACGAATATATCCAGAGAAATAATCAATAATCCAACACTTGAACGATGGATGAATTTGGATCAAAGCCTGAAAGAAAAGATGAAATCTTTTCTAAATGGAGCACTTCCGCATCTTCTGCATGCAAGCGAGGTGTTGAACTTGACATCTAAATGCAAAAAAGAAAGTTTGCAACTAATTTCTGGGTTGAGAAATCTTGATACTTGGGCGATAAGCTGTAAGTCTCGTTCCATTTTTTTTATTTTATGTATTAGTACGGGTGATTGAATAATTTCATTTCATGTGTTAGTACGGCTGATTCAATCATTTTACTTTGTGTATTAGTAAATTTGATTCAATTACCTTATCTATTTAAAAATCTGATTAAATATTTTATTTTATTTATTATTAACATAGATTCAACATTTTTTAAAGTTTTTATATTGTATATGTATTAGTAGATCTAATTAAAAAATATTTTGTCTGTTAGTAATGTAATAGTAGTAATTTGATTCAATAATGCTATTTAGTATATTCTCACATATGATTCAATAATTTTATTTTTTATATTAGTAAATCATTTCCAAGAATTTTTTGTATTAGTAAATGTGACTCAGTAATTGTTGTCTGTGAGCAAGTTTGATTCAGTAATTTATTTTATGTATTGTTGAGGCTATATTCGATAATTTTATTTTTTATATTAGTAAGCTTGGTTGAATAATTTTATATAGCAGTCAATTTAATTCAATATTTTTGTTAATTAATAAGTTTGATTCAATAATTTTTTAATCGGTTAAATCTGATTTAATAATTCTATTATGTACACTAGTAAGTCTGAATCAAAAATTTTACTTTCTAGGCAGTTGTCAAAAAAAAAAAAAAAAAAAAAAATTAATGTTGAAAAGTATTCATCAAAATGAAATAAAATTGTTTATCATAGTAAAGTTTAAAATATTATTTTGAAAATTAATTTTGTATGAAAATTTTGGTTTTTCTTTCTTTTAACACAAATGCAATTTACAAATAGCATATTTTCTCCATCAGTAGTTTTAAATAAACAATTGGCATCATAAACTATAATATAGAGTGGATACTATAACAGCAAATCATGAAACCATCATTAACTGTGAAAGAAACCTTCCCGTAGTCTTTATTATGTAGACATTACTTATTTATTCGGTCTTAATCTCGACTGCATTTTAAAGATATATTATGCTTTAATATATTCTGATTATTAATGTTTTCTTTTATTTATTCTTAAAGATAAGAATAGCTTTAAAACACAGAAATAATGAGTTCTGAATCAGACGGCATCATTGTCCGCAGCACGAATAAACATCTATAAGGATCCCTTATATATTAAAAAATTATTATTATTATTATTGTCAAATTATAAAAATATTTTATATTACTATTTTACTAACAATATAAACGTATCTGTTCGTACTATTATAACTATTACTAGATTATTATTATTAAAACTTTGCAGTTTGTAATGGGGAACTTTCACCCATACGAAAGTTAAAGACAACTCCTACTTTGAAATGCATTTACAAGAAATATAATAAAATGCGGAAAAATAATCTACACAAATAATTGATAATGTGCATATAGTCTTCGCATCATAGCACGGTGCAGTCACTCTCTCCAAGCAACAAGAAACGAGAATGTTAGCAAAGTGAAAGAAAAATATAAAAAGAAAATAATGTTTTGCTCCTTTGGATGTAATTTAAAATCTGAAGTTCAGATTTTAAATTACATCCAAAGGAGCATTTTTTTAACGTTTGTGTGTTGACCTTTATTTATTAAATATCATATTCTACGTACTCAAACCATACAATTCAGTTCAACATCAAAATCGTAAAATAATTTTAAAATGAGCATATCTTAAGAACTTCCGATACAGAGTCTCTTTCGCGCGCTAGAGATAAATTCCCCCTCCCCGGTACAGTGTTGCCATTGCTCGCTTTGAAATCGTTTAGTTTCTTAATCAAACATTTGTCGAAGTGTTACAAAATATAAAATTGATAATAAAACAAATTTCAAATTCAAATTAGAGCTTCCTCACGGCCATAATCTATGGAAGATTACGTTATTCAAATTTTGATGACTCTAGATACCGTCGTTTTATCACATTGCGAGAAACATACATGCATTTATGCAGATTCTTCGTTATTTAATTTCTTTAAATATAATACAGGGCGTTAATATTTGGTGACATCAATTTGAAAAGTGAAACAACGCTTAACGTGAATCGATGCAAAATGCCTTTGGGCAAATTGCCCCTTTGGACTAAAAATCAACTCGAGGCTTGTAATGTTGGGAAATAATAGTGAACTTTCTTTTACACCACTTTCGCAAGGCTTGAGTTAATTAAATGTAATTGTAATTGATGTTCTTTTAGACATAATTACTTATACTGATTTAAAATAGATCAGAATACAGAATTCTCATTTAAATGCTTTCATTTTTATAAATTTGTAAAATAAATCTTTAATATATTTCAGTGTTTAGACCGCATTTAGTTCAGCCTTTTTTAAATGTTCAGTCGTTTAAATTGTAGATAATTATATCACCAAAAGTTTTAAAAATCGTTCCCGTTTTAAAAAATGTAGAATTTGTTTAACAATTTCTATATAGCTGTTCTAATTTTTACACGAATTTCATTTCACGTAAATGATTTACCGCTTTGACAAATTAGGTGCTTTTATATTGGTTAATGTTATAAGCATCTAAATTGATACTATTCAAGAGAGAAGAGTCATATATATTTTAATGAATAAATAAACAATTATTTCTAAGCTTAATAACAATTAAATTTTGTGTTCATTTAGGTTACTCCTAGCATAGAAATGTAACTTTTAGCTCAAGACAAGAGAGATAATTCTAAAATCACCATTCATTAGGAAACGGGAAGGAAAAACTAAATTTCGTAAGCCTAATGTATTTTTTTCCCTTAACATTAGAACTGTGAAAATCCATTTTTCATCTTCTATCAAAACAAAACAAAAACAAAAAACAAGGATATTGATATATTCATTATAGTATTGGGAGTTTTTACTTGATTATTACTGGGTAATATTCAGAGTTAAGAGATGTTTTATACTTAAAAATTAGCTAGGTGCTTATTTGAGAATAAAAGAATAAACAGAAGAGACTTAATGACAACAAACGGGTATTATTGCTAACGAGAAATTGGCACGATCTTTATCGATTTGTTTTTGAGCTTTTAGTGCTATTTTGTCTTGCATTGAATATGTTTCACTGCTTCTAAAGAAGGTTTTGCTATAGAATAAATTTTATTCTTGTTTTTTTTTATAAGGATGTAGTTCTCTTGAGATTTTTAAAAAATAATGAAAATTATTTACCAGCCTAATCTTGAATGTCCATTTGCATGTCCAAGTTCCAAATACAAAAACAATTTTTCTAAAAAATTTTATAAAATTTGAAGATTACGTCGAAGTCTTCTGGTTTTGAATAAAACGTTGTATTTTTTCTTAAATTTTTATTTTATTTTGAGACTTTAATTCATGCAAATATATTAACTTAAGTCATTAGATTATTTTGAACTTAAGTCATAACTTAAGTCATTAGATTATTTTGAAGCAGGAGTGCAAGCAAAATTACCAGGACTTAAACCTGGACTCTGGAATACCCGCCAAATGTGCTACCGTTACACCACGCAGGCATGAAGAAAGGTGGGAGAAAATGCTTCATATATTCTCCCTTTTAAAGGGCGACTAGGGATTAGGGGACCCAATCGCCGAATCCTGGTAATGAAGAATCATCCTCCACCACCTTTTAGTTCGGACGCCTGTATAGAAGCATTAAGTTATTTAAGCAAGAGACGTGAAAAATGAGCAATGCCCTCGGAGACACTCGAAGCTGCAACTTTCGAATACGCGCCGAGTGTGCTATCGTTACACCACGAAGGCATGCAGAGAGGAGGGAGAAAATACTTTATAAATTCTCTTAATTTTGTAAACAGAAGATTAGTTTGAAATTCTCTTTCAATTTACATTGTTTCTCAACTATTGATTACTGTTCTGTCATGCATGACTTCATTATGAATCTTATAAACAGTTACCAGTGTTCTGATTCTAAAGATTACAAGCGAATGCTTATTGGAAAAATTATAAAAAATAATGTGTAGACATAAAAAAAAAAAAAAAAATAAAATAAAATAAAATAAAATAAAATAAAATAAAATAAATAAATAAAAAAATTAAATAAAAATAAATAAATAACAAAAATCATAGCTTATGCACTTATTTTCATGTACGTTAATACACAGCTTTAATTAACAAATAAAATCTAGTTTTATTTATTAATTAAAGCTGAGTGTGTATTAAAGTACTAAGTACGTAACGTAAGTGCATCAGCTATGAATATTTTTTTTTATTTACTAATTAAAGTTAAATGTGAATTAACATTTCAGCTGAGAAAAGTAAATTTATATAACTTTCAGCTTTGAATTTCTTAAGGGTTAAGTTGATTGAACACAACTTATGACAGCACATTTGTTTCAGAAAATAATTTTACATTAGTAGTTCAGTTACGTACATTACGATTTCGTCTATATGAAAATTTATTAATTTTACTTAAGTCATAAGAACTAAATTTATTAATCCCAAATAATCAGCTGTACTTCCGTAGAAGTATTCATGTGATTATTTTATGAAACTGTTTCTGAACATATATCTGACTGCAAAAAGGAATCAGGCGTGTCAAAAATATTGGAAATTAATTAGAAATTTCGCACTGCTTTTCTTAATATCGTTAAATATATAAAAGATAAATATCATATATTGGGTCATATAAAGAGTCTCCGTGCTTTTTTGCCACTAGATGGCATTGATGCCTATATATCCGGCAGCACTCATCCGATTGTCTCAAAAAGTGATGAAAGATCTGATGTGCTTAAAAAGTGACATTCATCTTCCATTGTTTGTGAAGGTAGTTTTTTAATTTGTTGTTCGTATCAAAAGTTATATTGATTTGAAAATGAGTGAAATATATGAAGAAATACGGTATGTGATACTTTTTTACTATAAAAAAGGTAAAAACGCTTCAAAAACATGCCGGAAAATTTGTGAGGTATACGGTGAGAATGCACTGAGTGAACGAAGGATCCAGCAGTGGTTTGCTTGATTGCATTCCTGAAATTTCGATCTCGAAATTGGAAGGGAGTTGTCCATTATGAGCTGCTGAAACCTGGTGAAACCATCAGTTCGGCCCTGTACTATGCACAAGTCGACCGTTTGAACGAAGCAGTCCAGAGAAGGCGACCAGATTTGGCCAACAGAAAGGGAGTTGTGGTCCATCAAGACAATGCGCGGCTACACACATTTTTGATGACTCAGAACAAATTGACGGAACTTGGTTGAGAAGTTTTCATGCACTCACCGTATAGCCCTATTTTGCACCATCTGACTACCATTTGTTTCGGTCTCTGAAAAACCCTCTTGATGGTAAAAAACTGGCTGACCGAAGCGCCGCTGAAAATCACTTGCCAAGTTTTTCGACGATAAACCACAGAGGTTCTACACCGATAGAATTATGAAGCTACCCGAAAAATAGCCAAAGATCATAGATAATAATAGTCAATATGTAGTTGATTAAAACTGATTTTCAACAAAGAAAATGTTTATTCAAAAATGTACCAAAAAGCCGGGGAAACTTTTAAATGACCCAATATATAAAATCTATATATTTTAAAGAACTCCTATATGAAATCATTTAAATATGTTAACGTAGACGAAAATTTATTTAAATTAACGCGATACATTACCGCAGACATCTTTATATTTTCTTACGAATCCGTAGTTGAATTTGAACAGATTAATATGCAGGTGTTATTAACATGTTCCCTTAAGATTACATCACAGATTAGAAAAAACAGCAATTATTATGATTAAAATCAACCAATTAGAAAAACGTATTGCAAGAACGAGAACAGCTTGCAATTTCACGGTTTTTCAGCATTGCGCATGATAATGCTAATCAAGATATGCAGAAATTGTAGTAACTATTTGATTCCCCCATCACGTACAGATGTTTGTTTCTGTACGTGATGAAGACTGACTCATTTCCCTTTCTTTCATCACAAGTTAGCTTTCATAAAGATAATTTTTTTTAAAGATTTTTAGCTACGTAATAAAATGAGAACGGTAACATTTACTAAAGGAAGAACTGGTACAATTTAGAGAAAGATTATGAGCACGGAATTATACAATGATTAAATGTCAACAAAAATAAAAATTTTGAATACTGTGGATTTTTTTTCTATTTGTCACTGAGTATATGTATTTGGAAATACATGGATACATTTTAGTGTGTTGTTAACGAAATATAAAGAATTTAAGGAAAAAGCTCTTTATCAGCTTTTAATATTAAAATGTAACACTAAAACTTTCTTCTCATTTCATAACTAAAATGTGAAGAGATATGAGGCTCTTTTTTCGGAGCAGAAAACACGAAAAATTAGTTAAACTCTCGCCAGGATTCGAACAACGGATCTTCCAACTTCTAGATGGACGTGTTGTTACTTTGCAGAGTCATTAGATTTTTTTTATGCTTAAGACGTGAAAAATGAGCAATGCCCTCGCCGGGACTCGAACCTGGACCTCTCGAATACGCGTCGAGTGTGCTACCATTACACCACAAAGGCATGCCGAAAAGAGGGAGAAAATACACCAGAACATGCGCAGTGAAATAGGATAATTCTTTCATTAAAACTTTAAAGAAACTAACGTGATCTCTCGATTTCTTTTATAGTGTTTTAAGCAGTAAGCATTCCAAAATGGGAATTATACGAGTATCACTTGTTTTCTTCCTAATATGATTAGACTGTCTGTTTGCAAGAATTCATGCAATAGCCATGTAAATTTTAAGTTATTAAATAGGTTCGCATTTCTTATTTAGTTTTAGATTCCACTGCTAAACCACAAAGTGGGTTCATATCTGGAGCCGTATCATCTTTTGGGGCCTATAAGCAATGTTTAGACACAGTCGCTACTGGAAAACCATACAAAGGAAGCAGAAGAGTTCTCTTCCAAGGACAATATTGCTTAATAGATGTGAAACCTCCATTACCTAACAAAACAAGAATAATCGGCTTGAATGATCAGTTGGAAGAGTTGACGAACTTCTCGGGATCCGTAAGTTAGAGAAATTTTTGATGCATTATTTATGATCACTTTCCCTGTTATCTGAATTCTTATATGACAGTTATAAGATAAAATAAGCTTAGATTCCTCAAATTCAAAACAATCAAACACTTTTCATTGAAACTTGCATTTCTAATTGGAAACACGTATTAGATTAGGATATGTACATAATTTACAGGATTTATTCGAAATGATCTATTTATAATAATAGGCATATATATTATGTAATGATATTTTTAAATCAATTGATTAAATTAAATTCTAATCATGTTTCTTAATAATTTGTTGGCGATTCTCTACCTAAATTGCATCCCTGTTCCTAAATTTTGGCGAAATCCTTTCTTTATTATGAATTATATTAACCTATTGGCCCCCGCCAAATCTCCAAACTCACAAATCTGTCATATTACATATTACATAACGTCCTTAAGAACACTCCTGATGAGAAGATAGCGTCACCTCATGATTTCAATAAATATCGCTTTTTGGATGAGCACCATGACGCACACATATCTATAAATAGGGCTTCTCCTTGAGGTACAACAGGAGCGCTTGTGAGAAGGATGCTAAAATAAACGTATCGCTTTATATTCCAAAATTTGTCTCATTCCTGTTGTCACGTCTGCACAGCACAAATAATGTATGAGATTCTACATTTCATATATATATATATATATATATATGTGTGTGTGTGTGTGTGTGTGTGTGTGTGTAAGAAAAACAAAGAATATGTGAAAGATTAAATTAGCAGTTTAAATTCCCTTCTGTATTCTAAAAATAGTAAAGAAGTATTAACTATCTAATCGAAACTAAGTCTGAATTAAGATTTCACCCTGAACATAACGCACTTGTTTTCTACGGTTCGGCCTAGCTTGTCTGCAGTCTTTTTTTTCTTCCTTTCTTACTGCAAAATTATCTAAAATGTAAGCTTTATGGAATGGGCACAATTAATGCGCTAACTTGTTTGTGGCCGCAACATGTTTGCTGAAATAAAAAACGAATATTTAATCTGCGTTCTCCTCCAATTTCCTATTCATTATGGATCAACACTTCTACGCCATCGAAATTTCTGCTGGTCATTACTTCTAAGTTTCTTTTTATTACATATATATATATATATAATATTATACGCCTATATGTAATATTATATGTCTTGTGTGTGCGGAATGCTTTTTTTTTATGCACTCTCCTTCCTGCGTGATGCAATTTAGTATAATTTCTCAAAGAAAGGGGGGGGAATTTCACTCAGTTGCTCGACGTCAGAGTAGACTCTAATAAAAGGCTTAAGACAAATATAGCTAAGGCCAGGTAGAAATCAAGCGAGGCTAAAGGGCTGGAAATGTTAAATTTAAGCATCATATAAATATAATGAAATTAATGGAAACATTTCCTTATTTGTATTTACTATACGTTTGCGCGGCCAGCTGCATAAATTAGTTATTATATATAGAAAAAGAAAGCATATATATATTGATTTTAATGAATGCAATTAATGTAACTTCTTTAAGTTCGATAGCATTGTAATCTTATCAGCAATTCTGGAAAAATCTCCTACTGCATTGCTAAAGAGTAAGACAAAAAATAAAATGATGCAAGAATAGCAAGACAGATGGAATAATAAATTAATATGTTTTTTATCGCAAAGAACCCATAGGTTTTTCCTCGAAAGTGAGCGTATAATAACTCTACAGCACTCTACTCTCTTTACTGGTCATGGGACATTTCGAAATTACTTTAAAAGATATGAAGTAAGATATTCGGAATGTTATTAATATGGTAAGGTCGGCGACCCAGCTCATTTTCCGTTCAACTGCAATTCAATTTAATAGTCAATAAGAATCTTTGATCAATGAGAGAACAAAAATTATCAACTGTTGTGCGGTAGAATATGCCTCAGTTAACAGACAACCATAATGTTGTTGTTGCTTATGCTTACTTGTCTAACTTAGTCAACCTAAGGAGCGCTAGATTTCGCCTGTCGTTGGCAACAACCTTGAGCACCTAGCAGTGACAGTGACTCCCAACCCTCTTCCCTTCCACCAAACCACACGTGAGGACTTTCGGCTCCCCGCATATTTAAGGCGCCGCACCGACACTATATACAGGGGGCGGCAGAGTTCATAGTAGGATATTAAAAACACACCATAAGGCAGTAACTGTAATTTGTAATGCTGGTAGGTAGCCCAAATTGACGGCCGGTCATCGACCCTGAGTTTCCATCGCCCACCCCATCGTGGTCTCGGCCCAGCCGGGACGGAGGTCTTGACCGGGCCGTGTTTAGCGGTGGGTTCGCTGATCGTTGAGCGATTATGCAGAGGGTCTTCTAAATTTGTTGGTGTCTCGGGGATGTGGGACCCTAGGCCCAGCAGGTGTGTTCTATCGTCATCTTCGGGTGACTCTTCTGGCTGTTTGTGCCAGACCCTGGATGTTCTTAATTGAACGGGCAGCGGTATGAAATAGTTAGTTATTTACCTCTTATGACAAGTAATAGTTAAAGGTATGCCATTGACTAATGTGTAAGTCACTGTCCATTGCGTGGATTACTTTTTGAATATGATGCCTATGTACTTTTTGAATATGATGTCAAATGATGCCCCCTCTGCATAACACATTCATCTAGGCGGCGTTGGAAGCTTGCCATAACTCGGCGTAACGTATTCCCTGGGACATTGTCGACAGAAGTTCTGATGCTATCCTTCAAGTCAGAAATGGTGGGCACAACGTGTTCGGAAAACTTCTTGCTTCAGGAGGCCCCAAAGGAAAAAGTCTGCACATGAAAGATCAGGTGAGCGAGGCGGCCAGGAAATGTCACCAAAACGGGAAATTACTCTACCTGGAAATGTCTGTCGCAATGGTCCGTCCATCTGGAACTTTCCCATGACGTCCCAAGTTGAAATGTTGCCGAAATAGACGCTGGGTAGCAATAACAGAGTAGTTATTCTTGAAATAACTTTCAACAGCAACGGCACGATGCTGTGCACTCCACCGATCGATATCCCTGTCACACTCAAACTGGCAGCTCATTAGTACACGAATGTAGCACGAGCTGGCGCGCATTCATGCAGTACGTCATTGTACTACGCAAGTCAAATTATGCTATGAGCGCTGCCGCACCCTGTATTTACAAATATCCATGCCTTCTGTAGGATTCGAACCCAGGCTTTTCGACACGGCATTCAGCGACGCTAGCCATTATAGGGTGGACGACACGCAACCTTATATAAGGGTGTAAAATGTATCAGAACTTATACAGAGCTATTGCAGGATTTAATGATTATGATTATGACTAAACATTGAAGGAATTTACCAGGAAACGTCAGGAAGTTGTCACTCTTGATGGTATCTATACTGAAAGACGTTTCGAGGAGGAGTTAGGTCAGCGGTCATCCTTGATGGTGCCAAAATCCGGCTAGTTTAATTTGATAAACGTATTTAATGATTTTAATAATAAACTAAATGTATTGCTCATACTAATTTATTAAAGCCTTACACTCCAACGATTTCAGATTTTAGATGCAAAGGAATTTGTATAATGAGCTGCAGATCACACAGCTGATTTTATAAGTTCTTTAATATGATAACTATTTTTAACCGCGCATCGAAAAGAAATAACGTGAAAAGTGAAGAAAATATTTTGAAACATTTCGTTTTTTCTGTTAACTGATCAGTTTATTGTTTCCTGCAGATCTTCTCAACTACATTTATATCATCCTTACCGTTCTATTCTATATTTAGTAAGTACTGCCAGTATTGATATTAGCCCAAATATAAGTTTTTTCATTATATTTTACTTTTGTTTTCATCGGAGGACTTGAATCATATGGGACACAATGGTCGTTTTGTAGCTGTCATCACATATATTATTTCTGTAGTGAAATTCCTTTTTTTTTTGTACCTACGAAGCCTGGTAAATCTTTCTCAAAAGCAAAAAACAAAAAGATTAAGCTGAAAATTCTTAAAACGATATTATCACAAGATATAGAATAGACTGGTTGGGCTAAACATAATGAATGCAGAAGAATTTCAGGATGAAATATTAGTACGAGTAAGGCAAGGTAAGTACTACATCTAGTTACCTTCTAATCCGAAGACTTCGAAATCCTTAAATTACAGTTAAACACATCGGAGAAGGACTGATCTTTTAAAAAATTACTAAGCGCTATAAAAATAAAAGGAAAAAGCTTCTGTATGAATTACTTACGGTACGGCGTTCGAAAAGCCTTTGATAAATTACAGGACAAAAATATGTCCATAAAAACTATTAATCGGATATATCATGAACTAAGTGCACTTTTATTATAAAAACTATTAATCGGATATATCATGAACTGAGTGCATTTTTATTATATCAATTAGATTGAAAAGTAAAGAAAAATATAATTAAAAACTACGTTTATTGATTTTAAATCGCTTTATTTATTAATCTATGACACATTCTTTGTCGAAGATGAATACGCTTTGCAGAATGATAACACATTGACTCTTAGAAGATAAAAGTATTTTATTTCTAGCAGTGATAAATGCTTTTAAATCGCTGAGTTTGTCAATCAAAAATTTGTTAAATTCTCACGAAGGTGAAGTCAATAGAAAAGAAATTCAAAATTCAGACTTTGAGTTGCCCATGTGGCGAAATGGCTCTGAGAAGATAAAAATCCACTTCACCGGGTTTAAAATACTACGGTGTTTATTTTTACGCAATGAATACGAAAACGTAGTTAGAACAAACTCACACCTTTATTAGCATTTTAAAACTCAACTGCTAGGTAGAATATTTTAAATAAACAATGTAATTTCTGTTGCCATTCCAGAAAGGTAAATATAAACAATATAACTAATAATAATTTTAAATTAGTAAATATATTTATATAACAAATTTATTACATTTATTAAATGTAATAAATTTAAATTTATTTATATCTTCATAACATACTAAAACACAATTTTAAATTTCGCATATCATTTGGAATGCAACACTTAAAAGTAATTGGGGTCAGAATAAAATTCCTTCACATGGTGAGCAAAAAGCAATCAAGGTTGACAGCCATTACGTTATAGGAAAATATCAGCAACGAAAATGTGTGATAAGTTGGAATATTCGCGAATTGCAGCCTAAATATCAGGATTTTGTCTTTTTGAATTATATCAGTACGCATTCATCTAAATAAGGGTTTTATATTCAAATTATAGAAAAAGAGAATCATATTTTTAGTTTTTGTGTAAAAACATTTCTTATGTCGAAATACGAATTCATCTTACATGTTAAATACCTATTGTCCTTTGAAGTGCCCCAATCATTGTGAAATTGAAGATTAGGCAAATGTATTAAAACTGGGAATACTGAAAATGTGAAGTAATGAGAGTCCTGCTCGTTCTTTTTTGTTACTTAACAGGTTTAATCATGTTTCGACTTTTATTTTTGTTAAAATTTCCTTAGATAAAAATATATGAATGTCATATTGATGAGCTTACATTTTCAATCCTATTGTTTATTTTACATTTTCCATCCTAGGACTTTTTGAGCTATGTGGCAAGGATGGCTCACTATTTTCATCTAGTTCCTTCCAGACTTGGCGTGTGCATTCCATCTGGCTGCTCGAGAAGAGACATGGACCAATTAGCCCAATTAAGTGAATACAATTTTTATCTGTTAAAGCCTCCATTTTGTAAGCCTTTTGTTAAAAAACAGAGAAACGTGGTTAACATGTGTTTATGTGTCTTACATTTATAATTTTGCCTGTTTTCTGAATTTCTTAATCTTTTTGGATATTTTACATTTCTTACAATGAAAAAAAAACTGTTTGCGCATCCATATATTTTTATTTTATTGTATTTTATTTTTTTAGCGGCCCATCATTTGCATCTTTCAGCGAAGATCTCAAACTGCGAAGTAAATGAAAAAGTTCAGTTTACAGAAACAGTGATTTTTGTTATGTAAGTTGAATTTTTTTTTTCAGTTCCTCGCTCTTAGGAATGCAAATTTAAATTCAGAAGCTTAAATATGGACAGCATTTTACCAGTAAATCATAATCATGACCATATTCATGCTTCAATATTCAGATCATAATTATGCTACTATATTACGGTACTCATGTATAGCCCATAATATAGTTATACATGTTCTGTTGCTAGTTTATACATATAAGTTATACAGAAGTGCCCCAGTAACATCACGGCATACACATATATTTCAAGACTCTCCTCGGATAATAATAAAGAACGCTATATGAAACAGCATATATATGTAACATACATAGTTAAGCTCACATAATTAGTAATTTTTTTAATTTATTCAATAAAGTTAGGGCCTTCGGCCCAGGTACCCAGGTGTATACACCATTCCACCGTGAAACAGAGGAAGCAAAGTAAGACGAAAACGTCATCGTATAAAACATCGTGGGCGAAAACAAAGCAAGGACGAAACATCGTAGTACAGAATATCGTTGTCAAAAATAAAACCATTGAAAAACTTCGCAGTTTAGAAACATCGTGGTAAAACATGAAGTCCCTACAAAATTATCGCAAACATGCGTTTTTTAGGCTTTTAAAGTTCTAAGTTCGTATTCGCATAATGTTTTATGAGCTCAAAAAGGAATAATAAGGAATATTTTTGCTTTTATATTTCATTTTTTGAATTAACAGTAAATATTTTCTGAAAAAAATAAGAAGTACAGAAACTGAAAATGAATAGAAAAATAATGCTGTAGCAATTAACAGAATCTTAAACTCAATCATTATATAATTAACTAATAAACGCGATTAATTACTTAATCTCTTTTATAAATATATGCTGGTAATTTTTCAAGCAAAATATAGTATAAAAATGATTATAAAAAGGAAGATGAGAAATTGTATGTTGCTGCCTTTATTAAAATTGCTTAATTAAATTATCAAATTAGAATACTCTGTCAACGATTATAAGTAGCAGTTGCTTTTTCCTTATTTTCAGGTTTTGAATGCTTAAGTTTCCTTCTTAATTTTTCAACAAAAATTTATTAATTAATTCAAAAATTTTAAAACAAAAATATTCCTCATTTCTTCTTGCGCTCACAGTTCATTATGTAAATACAGTAAGACCCCGCTTAACGCGGGGGATACGTTCCATCAAAGTAGAGCGTAATGCGAAACAGCGCTAAGCAAGGCTATCTTAACATGTAAATAATGAGGTTAGGGGAAGACGGATAAAAAATGGTTACACATTAAATTTAATAATGTTTTTTTTAATAAAAATAAAATCAAACATTATTTCTTACAAAAATAAAAACAATATAACGCATATACTTTTAAAACAAATAAAATTCTCAGTCAGATCATTCAGTCTATTCTGGGTTTCCAATTTCTGCCTTTTTGTCAAGAAGGCATTATGATAGATTGGCTTAATGGCATATTGCGTTCAATTTCGTCGTCAATCCATATAGAGAGTCGTTTTTCCACTTCCTCTATAATGTTATTTCTAGAACGGGTAATTCTAGTTGCAGAGCTTGACGTAGTTGCAGTTGCCGATTACAGTATTTTTTTCTTTATTCTTAAGAATTGTCCTTATTATTGAAGTTGCCAAATTCAATGCAGCACCTAATTTGAGATTGATACGTTCACCAGAATCTAATCTTCTAATCACTTGCATTTGAGTTTCCAGTGAAATGCTTTTTTTCGGTTGCTTTCTTTTCTTGTTTTTTATTATCACCCATTGATAAAACCTAAAGATCATAATACTTTGTCAACTGTATTAATCGTTATAGTATTATATAAATTTATAAACTTACCAATAATGTCAACAAATGTTTCAAATGATAAAAAGCAAGAAACACAACTACACTGTTTCGGATATGTTATTTGGAAACCTAGCGCTGCGCACAATTTCGGAGAATCCCCGGGTTGAAATAAAAGAGCGCTAAACCGAAACAGCGCTAAACGAAACAGCGTTAAGCGGGGTCTTACTGTATGCATTTACAACTTTTAAAGCATTGAAAACCATGTCTGCGATGGTACTTTATGTTTTACCAAGATATGTACAAAGACGATGTTTTTAAACTGCGAAGTTTTTGAATAGCTTTATTTTTGACTACGATATTCTGTACTACGATGTTTTGTTCTTGCTTTGTTTTCGACGTCGTTATTGTCAAAAATAGAACTTTAAAGAGCAACAGAGTTACTGTAACATCAAATGCTTTCTGAACACTGATAAGTGAGCTGCTGACAATCATATTTAAGTCCGTCAAACTGCGATATAAAAGTTCAAATTTTGAAAGATTTTCTGTAATCTCAGAATACCGGACATAGTTCTGCAGCGATAGTTTCCAATTTCTATATTTTATTACATCTGCTCCAAATGATCATACTGGGCGTTTTCGTGATTTTCCCCATGTGTAACGTGTATACGAGCCTTAGAAAGTCCTCCACGAAGGCATCCCTCCTCTTAGGCAGATAGCCCAGTAGTGTGCGGATTTGAAATGCTGCATTTCGGCTGTAGTAAGAGATCGCTCTCATATTGCTTACACAATTACGAAGAAAAAAGAAGATGATATTTACCCATATAGTATTTTTGCCGATGAAAAATACTCTCTAATCCGACAGAGGTCATTAAATATATATTAATTTGTGCTCACATCTTAGTTTCAGTATCAGCCTAAAATAATTCACGGACAGTGCAAATAAAAAGTTAAATCTCTGAAAGAGAAAATATATTTTAAAGAATATCACTTTTTATATATTTCTGAAACCTAAATTTCATTTTTAATGCATTTTATCTTATAACAGTACTTGGGACATAATAAACTCGATATATATCCTTGTATTCTTTATTACTTGTCAATTTTCTATCTGCGAAGCTGGTAATTAATTTCTAACAAAATTTTCAAATGGCCCGGAAAGCAATTGTTCCCTCTAATGGACAATTTTAGTCCGCCGTGTTTATTTCAAAGTTGATGAATCAAACGCATATATTTACACTTTTGATATTTCTCAAATTTAAGTGTCTTTTTCTTAAATTTTAATGATGAATCTTAACTTAAGGTATTTATAAAACACACAGTATAAATATTACATTTAGAAACTCAATAAAAATGGTTGGAAATGCTGTTAGCAGTCTATCATAAAGAAATGTTAGCAGAAAAGTATGACTAAATTACCTTATAGGATTAAAACTGTTTTACAGCCGCTCAGACGGTATAGTAGTTAGGGGAGCCTACTGCAATACTAAATGGCCCTAACTAGAAGTCTTGGGTGTTTGCAAATGTATAGTGTCAATGCGCATGGTGGCACTCGAAATATGCAGAGAGCCGAAAGTCCTCTCGAGAGGCTGTTGGTAGGATGCTCTCCTTCAAAACTGGTGGTGGAACAGAGCTAATTCGTACTGTCACCTGTATGGTGCTTAATAAATGCCCGCTGACCAACAAGCCACCGCCTTGGCTTGGTGTAGCAGATAGCAGATGGTAGCCATCGATGGAGCATCTATTGCCGAAAGTTGTAATGATGGTGCGGCTGCTCATTGATGGTCTTCTGGTTTTCTGTATGGTGCTCAAGGCTCTTACCAACGACAGAGTCAATCTTGCTCTCCTTGCCAAGTTCATAAAGCCAAAGGGCAATGACTATGCCATCTCGTACTTAATTTGTCTTGTTTCAACACCTAGCACTTTTTTTAAAAAAAACTGAATATCTTGTAAGCACAAATAGCATGTCAATGAAGTTAAGTGTCATTTTTTGGTTTTACAAAGTTGGGAACAAATTCTTACGACAAGGTAACGATCATCCATCAATCTCACTTGTCATATTTCGATAAGCACTCTCTCACGAGCCTAAGGTAAGGGTCACCTGCTGTTGAAATTATTTACTAAGTATTGAAACAAATGTCTTAAATGCTACTCATATAAGTTATACAGTAAACTGAGAAATATTTTAAGTATGTAATTCGGAGATGAACGAAACTCTAGCTCAAGCGATCTTTTTGAGATTGCAGAACCAACTGTTCGATATCAAGGTCAGTCTCTTGCGCAAGGTATATAATAATTTGTATAATAAAAACTAGCGCCATATTGTAGAGATTTGTTTTCACGCTAGTTGAGTGGGGGTACTTTAATAAATATTTTTAAATGAAAAAAAGCAATTTTTGTATTACTATTAGTTGGTACGTTTTCAGCCGTTTTTGATTACTTTTAAAGGAGATTCAGGTGAAAACCGTCTCAAATCTATTTCTTTTTAAATTAGTCATAGTTTCAAGCAGAATGTTTCAGAAAATTTGGATTTAAGTAATTATTTAATTTGTATTTTACACAAAAAAACTATAAAGTTAATTCTTAAGCACTAATGTACATAAGCTACGGAAACAAATCTCAGCGGTTAAAATGATATGGGAGGAAAATAATGGCAAAAAGTGACATAATTGTGCTGATACTAATCAATAAAGTGAAAAATTTCTCAGCCTATTAAAAAGTTATAACCTTATCATGTTAATATTTCTCTCCTTGGATATTTGCTGTATTAACGTTTACTCTGTGTATTGACATATTACATCTATATCGGCATATTAAATCGGAAAATTCTCTTATGTACAATTCTTTGAGGAGAGTAAGAAAACTTCTGATATTTTTACTTTATTCAAATCTCGATAAATATTCAGATAATCTGGTATTTTAACTCATGCATCATTGAATTGATTAGTTATTGAATGCATACGAGATAAAAACAGCCAATTTTTTGTTACGTTAAGGTCCACCCATAACCTAACATGGAAAACTGTATTTGTCTTACTAATAAGAAGCATAAATTAACGCAATGATATCCAGAAATAATTCAAATGAAAGGAGAGAAATTAGGAATGGAATTCTTTTCCTATTACTCCTCATAGTACACTACTTTTCTATCAATGAAATTAATATAATAAAGTTAACCTAATAGAGATTTAGAGAGAAACAAAGAAAAGAAAAACAAATTATACGTCCCCCGAAGATTTGGGTAAAAGCAATACTGGCTGTGTCATTTGAAATTTCGAAATTCTTCTTTGCTAACTGCTTCATATTATGGAATTTTCAAAATGAAAAATACTAGGCTGTAAAAACTGCAGAATAACTCAGATCTTATAAATTTGAAATTAAATAAGAACAAAATTTTCTGCAGATAATTTCCTTAAGTGCCATTCCTTTAAAAATCTCCGACAAGTACATTTATTTAAACTATTTTTTTACGTGAAATTTATACTTTTTAAAAAGAAATTTAGGATACCAAGAATCCACTCTAAATGCCCAAGTTTAATATACTTCTGTATTTTAAGAGTTCGCCTTAATTTTTCTGCATGAGTAATTTAGCTTTTAAACTCTTTAATTATTTCTAATTTGTTTACTCAGTTATTTAATTTACTTTCCGAGTTAATAAAACACTTTAGAATAATAATAATTTTTGTAATTTTATTATATTTGCAAGTTATTGTTTCAATAATAATAGCAGCATGCTTTAAATTTTAAATGCGAACTCCTTTTGTTCAAGATAATTTCTGTTAGAAAGAATATATCAGTTGTTAGTAAAGTGAGATGAATACATCTAATGATAAAAACTGAAAAAATTCGCACAATCAAACCTTTTACAAATTAAACAAAATCTATGCAGTTATTTGAAATGGTGTTAAATTATTTTAATATTAAACTTTTAATATTTTAAGAGTTAAAATAGTTAATACTTTCCTTCCTCCTTCATTTGGCAAGGTTCTAAGGTATTTCTCCCGCCTTCCTAGCGTCTCTTCGTGGTGTAGTCGTTCTGCACGCTGGGCCGGTATTCCAGAGGTCCGGGTTCGATTCCCGGCGAAGGCGTTTGCTTATTTTTCATCTTGCCTGCTTCAAAAAATACCTAATGGTTTCTACAGTGGCGCCCGACCTAAAAGGGTGTTGGATGATGATTCTCCTCACCCAGAATTTGGCGATTGGGTCCCCTAAAAACCCCAGTCGCCCTTTAAAAGGGAAAGTATATAAGGCCTTTCTCCCGCATTTTTAGCGTGCCTTCGTGGTGTAGTGGTTCTGCACGCTTGGCCGGTATTCCAGAGGTCCGTGGTTCGATTCCCGGCGAAGGCGTTTGCTCATTCTTCATCTTGCCTGCTTCCAAAATTACCTAATGTCTCTACAAGGTATCAATATGTGCCTTCAGTAAAATATTGAGTGAGAATACCGAATATAGAATTTTGTCAGTAGCGGCTTAAGTTGAACAAAAAGATGTGTTAAATCTCATTTAATTTTACTGAAATGATCGAGCTTTGAGTTTAGAAAAACTTTGTAAAGACTGCTTTACTTTATTCAAACCAGTTTTAAATTTTTGTTCACCCGTGCCTTACCTCTTCTCAATTGAGGCTTGCCTTTTATAGGTGAATATTCTGTGATACATAGGTGATTAATGATATATCTAATCAGAATATAAAAATGTTAAATTTCTAGTTATGTAATTTGTTTATGTGATGAATGTAATTTTTTTTTACCCAGATGCACGTGCAGTTTCCTAGTTTTGCTAGTGCTTCTGAGTTCATTGGTGGAGATATTATCCTACTATTACAAAATGAACCTCCGACGTAAGTATATCTCTATCTTATTATTTAACTGTAAAACCTATGCTCCTTTGATGTACTAAATTTAATATTTAGCTTACGGTTAAAATGTTTTAATATTTAGCTTATTGTTTCTTCAATACTCTGAGAAACAAGCAACTTAATTTTAAACTAAGTCTTCTGTTAATGACCTTTCTCTTAAGGTTAAATTAAATCAAACTCAATGTTGAATAAACTGATATAGACCCTAGAGTAACTGGGCTTAGTGAGGACTAGATTAGCTGACTTGTGAGAGCACCTTAAGTGCACTTAAGGTGACTCTCATACTTCATAATGTTTCACTCCACTTGCACTTAATTTAAATGATGAATAATTTCACTACACTGCCAGTAAAATTTTCGTCCTATCTTTATTTTAAGTCTTACAAAGCAAATTAATAACAACGAGCTAAAATTTTATTCATATTTCAGTCTGTACTCATAATTAAGGAGATCAATAACATTTAACTAATGCTGCTGCCTACTAACACAGGCGCCATTAGTAGCTTAAATTACTTACAGATCAAGTATTGAACACTATGAACCTGCCTCCTATGTTAGTGTGCGTTCTGACGTTTATTTGTAAACGCTCATTAACCAAAAACTATAGAAGCACTTCATCAGAGAAATTAAGTTCTTAGATCAAGTTTTCAAAATTCTCTCTCTAAACTTAGAATCCTCTGGTTTTTTAAACTCACTTTCTTTTTAACTTCTGTAAATGAGTAGATGAGTGATGAGAAAGATAAAACATAAGAAATATAATGTTAATTAAAATAAAATAAACCTTATACCTTAAATTAAATTTAACACAAATTTCAGTTTCAACTGACAAAGTATGAGACTTATCTGAGGCGAACATATTTCTTTTGGATACTGATTACATTCAGATGTTAATAATTTATTTCAGCATGCCATAGATATTGCAGGGAACTTTCCCGCCTAATCTTTGTGTCGGTAATACTGGCTTATCAACGGGGGTCCATTTCAGCAGGCAATGGTATTTAATGATCTTTTATTCAATTCGCCTTGCTGACAGTTTTCTTATTCATAGTCACGCTGGCAGGTATGCTGTCAGCACGACTAATTGAGTGAGAATTTATCCGATTGGATCAATTTGAATGAAAATTCGAATGAAGTCAAATGAGTACTTAATATATCAGATAGTAATTTAATATCTGTATCTAAGTTATTCTGCAAACTAACTTACGTGTTCTCAAAGTTTCTTTAAAAGGCGAATATCGAGCTGAGAAGAGAAACAGAGCGGATGAACTGAAATTTAAAATTAGTTTGCATACAATAAAGTAAGTAATAAAGACATTAGATTACACACATTTACTTTTAAGAATAACTTCGAGTTTTAAAAAAGTAACCAAAATTTAGCTTTACCATGCAGAAGCCCTTTCGCCATCAAAATATTTTTTTTTTTTTTTTGCCAGAAAAAAAAATCTTATAAATATTGCAAAATTCTACTACTATTCGATAAGTGGAAAACATAAAATACTATTTACCAAAAATGAATTTAATTTACTGATCTTCTTTGAATCTGTATTTTTTATATACAGATATTTTAGTTTCGCTAAAATATCTGTGCTAAAGTTTGCTAAAATATCTGTGCAATCAAAATATATAGCAAAAAACTTAAGCCTCGAAGATTTTAATGAATAATTTTAAAGCTCTTACTCTTAGGTGAATTCAGAAATGTTTCACTACATGACTGTTACATGATGCTACACGACTTTCAGAGCCTCTTTATTAGTTAAAATAGTAATGTAATGTTTTTAAAAAATATGTGTGTCTCTCACCTGAAGTGATATATATTATATATTAGAGTTATTAAAAAAGTAAAGATCTTATGCTAAGATCTTTATTTTTTATTATTTATTTCCACGCAGGTTGATAAATTTCCATTGAAAATTGGAAATTTATCAATCTTCGTGGACAATAAATTAAAGATCTTATACCATATGGATTGGCAGCCAGGCCTAATTAGCGCACCATTATGTAACATTCATATGCTTTAGTAGTAAACGTAATGTAACTAAACGTAACGTAAAATGGAAAAACCTAATCTATTGACGTTTTTCGCTTCATAAAAAGCCGTTAAAAGTCAAAAAAGTAAAGCTAATAAATAATAAAAAAAATAAAATGGCAGCAAATTATATCCAATAGAAATTCCTAACAAATTCAATGCAGTCTATTTCTGAAGCAGACCTTTTGCTCAACTGGTTAAAAATCCAATTTTATTTTTACTTTTCACTATTGATTGCAGTTATAGTTAAAGTTTCAAGTAAAAAAAGATGCTTCTTTTGTCTAGAATGATCATACTCTCATATCTAAATATTTGTAATTATTCATTGCATAATAATTTGTCCATTTTCATGCAGAGTTTCTAAGACATAAATTTTAATCTCTTTGTAGACAAAGGTTTCCAGGTTCTGTTTGCCTTTTCTTTAATAACCAATTTTAAGAAACTAGTCAACGTGAAGACATCGTCTGAATCTCTACGCTGCCTACACGGAATTCGAGCTCTCAGCATGTTTTGGGTGGTTTTAGGACATATTTACATATTCCACAGTCGATCTGTGTTTATGTTCAGTGAGTATCCTCGAATTAATTCATTATTATATTTGGTTATGGTTTATGTTGTGGTAAAGTGTGTTACACAATGCAGTAAGAGATGGCTAAAATAACTCTTTGTCTCTAATACTTTTTAATGAATAGGAAGTGTTCTTTTGATGATCACTAAATCTTCGTCTTTCCTATACGAAATTATAATGCTAATGAATGCCGTAATTAATTCCTTTCTTTTCATTAACTAAAATAATTAAGTCATTTATCTTTTAATGTGAAAATTTGTGCGTTATTAATAACTTTAAACTTCATTACACAGAAATAAAATATTACTTTTATGAGTAATAAATTAATTTTAATCTACTAAATTTTCGAGTTGTAGTTTACATGAGCCATGTTGCATCTTAAAATTTATGATAAATTAGTAATGAATTATGATAAATTAGTAATTAATTTTGGATATATTTTTTTAATATTTTTATGTTATATGAATAGTAATCAGGTTTTGGTACAATGTCCTTCTGTACAGAAGTCAACGCTCAACTCTTCATTCCCTTTGCTCTATTTATTTCATTTTAAACTGGCATCCCACGCTTAAATGATGATTGATGAATGGGTGATACCAACTTATAGTGCGGTATGTTTCAAGTTGTAAATAACTCTGCATGGATCTACCACCTGCTGAAAGTTCTTACTCAGTAAACAAGTACACTTATCTTCATCTTCATTTTACCGAAAAAAAAAATTGTTTAAAGCATTAGACGTGTTAAACAACTTCTGATCGCTATTGAAAAAACAGCCATCTGCCATGTAAGGTGATAGTCTCAAAGATATTTGACAGTTCCCAGCAGAAATTATCATGCTGGACGTTTTCCATACTGCTGTTGCGAAAACAAAATCGTTAATGAAATGCAAACATTTTTCAAACAAAACGAAGGCTAACAACAAGCATTTGAGTCACGTAGAAACTAAAACTGCTGAAATCTCAAAACCTTGCCAAATGAAGAAGGAAAAAAAGTAGTAATTATTTTAACACTTCCAAATACTAAAAGTTTAATATTAAATAAATATTTAAATTTTTAAGTAATTTTGTTACTTCTTTATTTTGTCCTCTTATAAAATAAGAAAGATAAGACACGAAGTTTAAGTGAGATAGATATTGCTAAAAAACAGGATATATATATTTTTTGAAATGCACCTGCAAACGTTACAAAAAGTAACTAAAAGAAACTATTGCATAGTTTGAAATTTTAATTTTCAGAAGTGAAAATTTTAAAAGTGGATTCTTTCCCAGCAGATCTGATGAAACGGCAAAGGAAGTTTATAAGAATTTAAAATAGTGCAGTAACTATTTTAATTTGTGTACACTGCAGCTGTTGAACCGGTCAGCTAAACATTGTAAGAATTATGTTAATTTTATTAACAGTTAAATTTTAAGTTCCTTTCCTGTCAAATTCTTAACTTCAACTTAACACTTCCGGCCAGAACGTAGTTTTGAAATTTGATGAATATTTAATGAGAAGGAGCGGTATTTAAACCACGAAGTTACTTACTGAGACGAAGAGAGAAACAGAGTTTCTGAACTACGCGCGTCTGCCCTTTTGGCCGCTCTCTCTCTCAAAGCTATTTTTACGCTCGGCCGTACTGAGGCCCTTGCTAAGCTTCGTAGTAAAATAAGTTAAGGGGCCAATTCTCATTGAACCTGATAGCTTTGGCTATACTTAGTTAGTAATCTTAGTTTTAGTTTAATTCTTAGTTTTAAGTTCAAGTCCAAAGTGCGACTTTATTGTATACTCCCAGGCGGAGTTTGTTAAATCTTATCGAAATAAAAAAGAGTTATTTACCGTTCTCTCTTGTTGTTTCCTGTCATCGAACTCTAGCGATTATTCGCTTATCAGTTCCTAGGTTCCTCACTTCCAACATTAACTTAGAATTCCAAAGTGAACTTAGAAACCTTAAAACATAATTTGTACCTTTTTAAATAATTGCGCTCGTGCCTACTCATTAGCTAAGCACTTGAATCATTATACAGAAAATTTTGAACTTACATAGATTATTTGTTTACTGGATTTTAAATACTATGTAAGGATTATGTTAATTTTATTAACAGTTAAATTTTGAGTTGATCTTCCTTTCTTATTGCTTCTTAATTTCAACTTACCAATTCCGGCCAGAACGTAGTTTTAGAATCACGTCTGAAAGCTAATGAGGAAGAGCGGTATTTAACCCCGAAGTTCTATTGTCTTAGTGAGAGAGATACCAGATATTCTGGCTAGCACGCGTCTGCCTTTTTAGGGTACTCTCTCGTAAGCTATTATCACGCTCGGCCGTACTTTAGGCCCTTTATAGCTTCGCAGTCAATTAGCGTTAAGGGGCCAACTCTGTTAGAATTTTGATACCTTCGGCTATATCTCTTTAGTTAAGATTAGTTTAGTTTAGTTCTAAGTCTCTTAAATTCAAGCCCAAGTGTCGGCTTTATTGTAAAGGGTGTCCCCAAATTAACGCAAGATTTGAATTCAATATAAAAGAGAGTTTTTAGTCTTTAGATATTTATTTTTTAATCATAAAGTACATAGGATAGAGTTATTTAAGGAATAACACATCGGGCAAATGGCCTCCACGGCTTTGCTGTCACATACGCACCCTTTTGTCGAAATGTTTCCTGACCTTTCTGCATAATTGTGGCTGAATTTCGTTGATGCAGCGTTTAATTTCCTCTTGTAATGCACGTGTGGTTGTAGAATTGTTCACATAGACCTTTTACTTCGAATAATCCCATAAGAAAAAATCTAATGGTGTTAAATCACATGATCTAGGGGGGCAATTCTAATCATCGAAATGAGAGATTACACGATCTGGAAATGTCTCATGCAGTAATTGAATTGTTTCATTGGCTGTATAGCATGCGGCACCATCTTGTTGAAACCACATATTGGCCACATCAATATCATCCAATTTCGGTAGAAAGAACTGTGTTATCATGTCGCGATATCGAGCACCATCTGCTTGACCAGCCTCATTCTCAAAAATATATGGTCCGATGATGCCTCCTGCCCAACATCCGCACCAGTGACACGTTGGGGGGCCATTTTTTTCGCTAATCACACGTGGGTTCTACGAACCCCAAACACGGCAATTTTGGTGATTAGCAAAGTCATCGAGGTGAAAATGTGCTTCGTCGCTTAGGATTATTTAGCTCGAAAAACCAGCATCCACTTTTTGATGATTAATAATCCATTCCACGAACTCTCTTTGCTGTTCATGGTCATTAGGCTTCAGTTGTTGTGTTAATTGAATTTTGTAAGCATAAACACACAGATCTTTCGTAAGTATATGCTGTAGAGAGCTTCTTGAAATTTGCAATTCTTGTCCACGATGCCGAATTGATGTTCCTAGATTTTCACCAACACTCTCACGCACTGCTTCAATATTGACATTTGAACGGCTAGTTTTGGGACGACCGGTGTGTTTAGCGTCTCCAACTGATCAGTCTCCACGAATTTTTCAATTAATCTTTTCACACTTGACGAGGTTAAAACACTATTTTTACCATATTTTGTATAAAATTTTCGAACTGCGGCAGTCAGACTTTCATTATTTTAAAAATATTGTTCAATAATGAAGACACGTTGTTGTATCGTATAACGCTCCATTTTCACTAACCGTAAAATATCGGCCTTCAAACTGTAAACGCAACGTATTAATTTTATTTAAAATGTATTTCCCGATTGGGAAGAACAGTTTTTTTTTCAGAACGATAATATTTTGAACGGTAAGTTTTTGAGCAGTAAGGTTGACGGTAATGTTTCGAATAAAGTAAGTTTAACAATTAAGTTTGACGGAATGTGTTTTAATAAAGGAACTAATAAATGCTAACATTTCAGAAGTGGGATAAACTAGAATTATTATCTAGATTTAACAACGTATTGCCTTAACGTACGCTAAACCTAAATGAATGCGGAAGTCGCCAAAACTGAAAGTAGAAGGTACGTGAATTATAAACTGTTATGTTATGTCTAAGTATTAAACGGAAAGAACTTAAGTATAATTATTGTATTAGTATTGTGAAAATTGAAGTCTAAGATTGCTTATTTGGCAAGCGGCAAGAAATGTGACTTAAAAGAACTTGCTTTGGAACTTGATGTAGTTGTCTCTTCTGATATTAAAATTGTAGGCTTAAGGGATATGATTTTGAACAGTAAGAATTATAACGAAGACTTTACTAAACAATGCTAGATAGAATTATAAATGATGTTAGACAGGGAATTAGAAATTTTAGAAAAAGATAAGCAAGAGCATTTGAAATGGAAATTATAGAAAAAGATAGCAAAGAGCATTTGAAATGGAAATTAAGAAAGAGATAAGCAAAGAACTTTTGAACTGAAAAATGAAAATAGAAGCAGAATCAGAAGTAGTAAGGTAAATGATTCTGTTTATTCTAATGTTAGTAGAAATATTTGTGATATGAGTAAATTAATGCATAAGTATGATTTGAATGAAGGTGATATAAGTTTTTATTCAGTTTATTTGAGAGACAGGCACGACGTATTGGGTGAGAGAACAAAAACTGGGTTTCTCAGCTGTTGGGTCTATGCCTTATGAAATAACTCAATTAATTGCCCGTGAATCAGAAGAGAAAGTTACGACTATAAGCACGTTAAACAACTGCTACTGAGAAAATTAAGTTAAGCCTGAACAGTTTCGCAAAAGTCGTTGATCATATTAAAACGTTGCGTAATACGTGGAAGGACTTCACGTTTTGAATTAAAAAATTATTTGAAGAGTGGCTTGCTGGATTAAATATATTTTGATTCTAAGAACAATTATTACTGATCAATTAAAGAAGAGGGTCCCTGCTGCTATCCGAGACCATTTCATGATGATTGGTCTAAATTCATAATCCTGAAGAGTTGCTGAAAAACTAGATGAATATGAAATATCGGGCAGGATAAAAGTATTTCGAGTAGAAAAAAAACTTTTAGCATAATTTTAAGCCCAAATCTGGTTCTAACTTTTATGAAGGA